CTCCTTGACCGGTAGTGCTTCTCGTGATTCGTCTTCGTGAGGCTGGCCGAGGGACCAACTAAAGGTGCATTCTACTACGAACTCAGCGAAGGCTTGTGCTTTGATTACGGGCCTCGGCTGGTATTGGATGTCAAACTCCGACAGTTCGATTGCCCACTTAATCAGGCGTCCCGAAGTCTCTGGCTTGGAAAGGACAGCCCTAGGGGCTGATTCGTCAGGACCACTATGGTATGGGCTTGGAAATACGACCTAAGCTTTCTAGCCATGGTGACGAGGGCGTAGGCTGCTTTTCCACTTTGGGGTACCTGGTTTCGGCGTCACAGAGGACCTTGCTGACATAGTATACAGGTCTCTGGACTCTGTCATCTTTCACCAGGACCTTGGTGACATAGTATATGGTCCAACACGCCAGGCCGTCGGAATAGCCGTATAGTATCATGAGCACCCTGAAACCCTCCAGGTGGTCATCGGGGTTGGTGCTCCCGTCGTACGTTTCTAGTGTGTGAGCCTTGAAGTGTGGGAAAAGAGGCTCCGAAATGATTTCCACGGTGAATGCATCCATGCGGCCAGCACGGGCGTGGGCCCCGCTTCTGTCTTCGCGGACCCGATGGGTGTTGGTTTGGACTTCCGAATACTCCAAGACAGGATCACGCGCTCCTCTGTGGGTGTGACAATCATTCAGAATGTCCTTGAGATCTGAGACAGAAGGTGGAGTGGCATGGTGTCGGCTCTCACCTCGGGAGCGAACTCCAAGGCGGCTGAGATGCCCGCCATCATCGCGGGGGGCCTCCCTTCGGTGGCGGTGGTGTTGCTCCGAAGGTTGATGACTGTCTTCAGATTGAGCGGGCACGCTCTTCCTTCCGAAAGGAGGACAGGTGTTCCTTCGTGGTGAATCCGGGAGGCGGTTGTTGCCTGATTCTGATGGCTCGGATAGCGGGTTACCATGGCCCAGGGCTGGTGGCTCGACGTTCTTGCGTCGGCCCTGATCCTCTAACACCCCAGCAGGGCAGTCGCCTTGAAAGGGACCTCCTGCTTGGGGGCAAACTTCTTCCATCCGTTGGGTGAGGCAGTCCAAACAATTGAGGACGGCCTGAAACTGCTCATAGGTGACCAGGTTCTGATTGTTCCTGGTTCTCCTCACCATGGCTTTCAAGCTTAAACAGGGGGTTGGATTTAGAGTATTTATATTTTTATTATTTTTTCTAAAGTGGGGGTCGTCTTAGCAACCGTTCCCACAGATGGTGCCAATTGTTGCTGCACAGATTGGCCGAGGGCAATGAGGTAAATTCACTCTTTAGATTTCGGGTGTTGGCAGAGGACTTCGAGGCCTCGGAAGAGGTGGGCCGAAGCCGAGGACTGCAAGTCGAGGTGAGGTATTTCTTCCGGAGACCATGGTAGCCGAAGGCTGTAGGCCGAGACTGTAGCCCTAATTTGCACTATGACTTTTAGCGATAGTCGGTGTATTTTATAGTGGCAGTTTTAAAAGACTGCCATTAGAGAATATTATTTCTTGGGACAATTGGCCTTTAGTCGAGACCGGATCTGCTCCTCACACCGACCTCACACGCATATTTTATCATGTATTGGGAACATTTCCCGTATTTAAAAATTATTATTCATGGGATATGTTACCAATTCACGGTGGATGTACCTGTGAGGCGCCCATTTGTGAGGAACAGATCCCATTCCCCTTTAATCACCTTCTAAACTGCCGCTAGTTTTAATTTTTTCTGTATTAGATGGACTATAGTTGTTTGTGCAGTTGGACAGTGGTAGATGAAGGAATGTATTATGGATAGCATCATAAGTAGGGGGGCTTTGGAGAATAAAAGCTGGTAAAAAAAGTACTACCTCAATCAATTGACACTTTTATGTCCTAACAAACCAAACTTAAGCCAATACCTAATAGAATGCCCAAAGTCTACGTTGACAAATTGATTTGGTGCAGAAAATTTTCTGTGCTAAGGGTACAAAGGATGTGAAGGCCCACTGAAAAGAGATCCCACTAGCCACGTTCAAAAGATGTGTATATGATTTGACCCATTATTAATAAAAAATATATGTAATATGATCTAAACTCCTAAATCAAAATATTAGCCAAACTGTGTTCCATATCAAACAATATAATACATGCCTTCACTCGGTAAGCAGTGTCTCCACACCCATTGCATTTCAATGTTACATGTCCTTTCTCTAACTCCATTATCTTGTAAAGAGCTTTTCTCATCTTCTTTTCCACCTTTCCACAAGCATGGATATTAAAAAGGATCTTTCTGTAGAAAACATCCCCAGTGACTCAAAACCAGATGGATACCATGGTGACAACTACGTTAGGAAAACGTTCCAAGCCCTCTTAAGAATAATTCCATCAACCCGAAGACATGTATCAGACTCGGCCGATGCTCTAAGCAGCCAGACCAAGCCCATTAAGAAGCTTCAGATGGGCGTGGATAGAACCGCTCCTGCTCAGACCAAATTTGCATGGTTGCGCTCACAGGTGGTAGGAGCCGATGTTGAATTTGACACCCCTTATGGGAAACGCCTCCTCACCTATGCTGATCACACTGCCACTGGAAGGGGCCTTCGTTTCATTGAAGATTACATCATCAGTTGTGTTCTTCCTTTCTATGGTAAATTATGTTTCTGAGTTCATTGTTTTCCTTCTTTTAGTTTGACAAGAAACAGGTTCGGATTATGGAATACAGCAGTTCCATAACTCTGTACTTAAATGGCTTTCATTACTGGAGGGATTCATAGAAATTTACTTGTGCCCAGGGAACACTCACACAAGCGACAGCTTCGTGGGGTACCAAACGACCAAGATGGTACATGAGGCGGTGGAAAACATCAAGAGTTGCTTAGGTGGTGGAGTTGACGATGCACTGGTGTTCTGTGGCTCCGGCACCACTGCCGCCATTAAGCGCCTCCAAGAGGTGATGGGAATTGCAGTTCCATCAATCTTGAGAGAGAGAATGCTGAAGACGCTGAAGAATGAGGAAAGATGGGTAGTGTTTGTTGGGCCATTTGAGCACCACTCAAATATCTTGTCATGGCGACAGAGCCTAGCGGAGGTGATCGAGATTGGTATCAATGAAGATGGTTTGCTGGAAATGGCAGCTCTGAAACTCCAACTCGAGACTTATAAATCCTCCAACCGTCCTATGCTGGGTTCATTCTCGGCCTGTAGCAATGTCACCGGAGTGTTTTCTGACACACAGGGCATCGCTCGGCTTCTCCATCAACACGGTGCCTTTGTGTGCTTTGACTTCGCTACGAGGTATTTGTTAATTTCCTTTCTCAGCTGCCTTCTGATCGCTAAGATCAAATGTATTCTACTGTGGATCTACTACTAATGTTGATTCGTATTGGAGCAGCGGTCCTTACGTGGAGATCGACATGCGATCTGGAGAGATAGATGGCTATGACGCTCTCTTTCTCAGTCCACATAAGTTCCTTGGTGGGCCTGGAACCCCTGGCATCCTGTTGATGAACAAGGTCCTGTATCAGTTGAGATTTTCCCCACCTTCAACTTGTGGAGGAGGAACTGTTAGCTTCGCCAATGGCTTCTCTGAAAGGGTAAGCACCCCACATCAGTTCTACGGCAGATCATGAAGAGCTTCCACTTGTTCTTTAGAACTCATTCTTTTCCTCTTGTGGACTACTATCTGAATTCTTTGATCATGTTTTGTAGGAAACTTTGTATTATGAAGATATAGAAGAGAGAGAAGACGCCGGAACCCCACCAATTATCCAAAAGATTAGAGCAGCGTTAGCTTTTTGGGTGAAGGACTACATTGGTTACAGAGTGATTGAAGAACAGGAACATGTCTATATAAATGCAGCGCTCAGAAGGCTTCTCCCCAATCCAAACATATGGGTGTTGGGAAATACAAGAGTAAGACAACTCTCAATAATCTCTTTCCTTATTTTCACCACTACAAATTCTTCCTCAGAGGAGGGTGAAGAAGGGAGAAAAGTAAGAGATGGAGGACTTGGCATGTGGAGAGAGTCAGGGAACAAGAAAGATAAGCCTCTCCATGGGTCCTTCGTCACAAAGCTATTGAACGATCTATTTGGAATTCAGGCTAGAAGCGGGTGCGATTGTGAAGGCCCCTACGGTCACCTTCTGCTTGATGTCAAGGAGCCTCTTTCACTGGCTTTTCGATCTGCCATCCAGAAGGTAAATCGTTCATCCTTATCGTTAGTGTGTTGTAATCGCTTATAATGGTGATTTTTTTTTAGCTTCATGGGGCTACACAACAGGGGGTAGCCCATCCCCTTTCCCTTAACCCCCAACCCCTGGTGGCAGCGGGATTTGATCCCAGGTCTCTACTCCAACGAGTCAGAGAACCTACCAACTGAGCCTATAATGGTGATTTTAGTGGGGGAAACTAAAGCCCAAGTTATTTTAAAAAACCCAAGTAAGTGCATTTACCCATGTTTTTTTATTTCTTACGTAAATAAATTAATGACCATTTTAACAATAAAAAATCTATTATTAAAAAGGACATTTTTTGTCCCATTCAAATATTGACAACTTTCCCCCTAGGTGGAAAAGTTATTTAGCCACCTAGGAGATGGGTATCATTTACCCAAAAAAATAAATTTTCCTTCATCCCACATAAATCTGAAAAAAAGAACATAAGATTCTTAGTCAATGTGAACCAAAATACCATTGACCAACATTCTCCCTCTCAAAATCAAAAAAAAAGAACACCCCCTAAAGTTGAATCTTGACTTCTACTCAACAAATTGGGAAATTTCCAAGACCCAAGTAGAGCTTCAATTAAATGACAAGCCCTTAATTCTGAATTGGGCCTACCACACCATAAATTGATTTAACTTTATCTCATTTTCATTGTTTTAATTTGTAGGGTTATGCTGGTGTCAAACCTGGTTGGACGAGAGTAAGCTTTCCCTAGTATATGTCCACGGAAGAGTTTGAGTTCATCTTAGCTGCATTAGAATTTATTGCGTTGTGTGGTCAGCGTTTCCTTCCACTGTATCATTTCAATTGGAAAACTGGCGAGTGGAGCTTCAAAAAGCGAGCTACCATGGATGACGAAAGTTTGGAAGAACATGAAATTGATTTCTGTAAATTGTCATTAGCTAATAAGAAGGCTGTTTCGGTAGTAGGGAAGTATAAGTCATACTTGGAGACTGCTAAGCTTGTAGCGAATTCCCTGCCAAAGTTTCCTCCCCAGCGTAAAGTGCCTAGAGACATTGATCTAAGCCTCGTTTACTTCAGGGTCTAGACTCTCTACTCTCTGATTTTCTTTACTTTTCTTATATATAAGCTATTTCATTTCTTCTTATTTTCCTTTGTGGTGTGTGGGGGTTCATGGAGCTGAACCAAGCTTCACTGAAGTAAAATAAATAATAAGAGAGTAAAGAATTATACACTTTTGTAGGAAAGGAAGATAACATTTTGTAATCGCTTTTCACAGAGATGAAGATGTGTAATATACAACATGATTATAGAGTTGATACCAATGGTTATGAGTTACCCATCTTTATATGAAGAAATGGAATATATGTTTTAAATTAATTAAAAACTAGGTGTCATTGTGATGATATGTGTTTATCAACTTTACGATCAGATAATTCCTACTAATTGCTGATATTGAAATATTTAAAGAAGGTGGTTGAAGTTGGTCAATCATTAATTTATTAAGAAAAGGATGGAATAGAAAGGAAAAATCACATGCATTATGGAGAGCGGTGGGTAGGTACAAACATCTTACCCTAAGAATTGATTGAACCATGGATCGAGAGATTCAGTTGCTGCCATTCATTTTAATTGTTATTGGATAAAAAATAATCCATTAAATAAAGGGAAATTCAGTGATATTCGGAAAAATCTCACAATGCTCTGATATCAACTGGATGCCAAAAGAATCTCACAGAGTGGGACTAAGGGTAGAGCTATGCAAGAGAAAACTCAAAAGAGATAAGCTTGCCACCCTAAGAAATCCACCAAAGATATGGTAAGAATAAGATAGTAGAAGAGCTCCTTCAAAGAAAGTGTTAAGAGGGTCAATTGTATTCAATTCAAAATTTTGCATTGTAGATTAATAGAACTACAAGGCTTATATATAGACTTAGATTAATCCCCCTAATAGCCATCCCAAAACTTTAGTCCATTTATCTCTCTCTCTGGGAGTTTTTCACAAAGTAGTATATTAATAAAACAGTTACGCCAACTACTTCATTTTCATCTAACCTGCCACTTAGTAGGAGGAATTCATGTCCACGTATCTAAACTTTAGTTCATATCTTCCTACTAAGATGTGTTGTCGTGGTTCCACCATTTTCTAATCTTATGATCCCTTTTAATAGTTTCAGTTGTTAAGCAACAAGAATGAAAGATTAGGATCCGATAATCTCCCAACGCATGAATTTTGTAGAACATGGTCAAATGGGTCTTTGTAGGCCAAGCTTGACAGAATATTGGTAAATAAGGATTGGATTGATCAATTTGTTGAAATGTGTGCTGAGCACTTAAATTAGTTATGTTTTAATCACGCCCCTCTTCTTGTTAATGTTAATGATGATCTTATGGATGGTGCAAAGCCATTTAGCTTTCAACAAAATGTGAATCATTTCATCCAGCTTTTTTATGAGAGAAACACACACATGAAGAATATAATTCAAATTAATAGCTAGGAATTGATAATTTATCCACTAAGCTTAAATTATTAAAACAGAAGATCAAAACTTGGAATAAGGAAACATTTGGTGGTATTTTCTGTAACGTCAAACAAGTAGAGCAAACAATTATTGAATAGGTATTAATAGATATTGAGAAAGCCACAACCGACTATCAATTAGCTAGGGGCCGTCACTATTGAAAATATCATTTCTTTGGGTGGTTTATTGAAGCTCATATGTTATATGTCACCAAAGACAACCAACGCAAGGTCACCCCTAACCCTAATTCATCAACGTAGTGCATTTGCGGGCTTTGACTATGCTGCAAGGTTTTAATGTGTGCATGCCTTGAGAGCTTGAACCTGATAGAAACATGACCTATAACATGGGCTATACACTCCCAATCACAAATGCATCTTACACCTTATATATATATATATATATTGGCCCGACCCGTGCAGGACTTCAACGTTGTAAAAATAATAAACAAAAGGTAAAATGCAATTTATTGCTTTCATTTTACAAAACCGAAATGCAAGTGGGATTCTTTTTATTTTATTTTTTTCTTTGATTTCTTTTGAAGGATTACACCACGGAATTGTCTAACCCATAACACCCCAACCTAGGTGCAAGCAGAATTCGATCTAAGTCACTGCAATGACCGACAGATACCATTCAGTTGGCTGACACCTTGCAAATAATCAAATATCTAATAATAGAATCCAATAAAGTATTACGAATGCGAGGAGGGACCCGCGTAGACATTGTTTAGGGACTTGTGAGAATTAAACCCTTTTTGAAATAATAAATATGCTGCCTTGTTCCCCAATCCTTGGGTGTGAGTGGTGTGTACTTCGAAGTGATGAAGAGAGCCCTGCAGTTGGTGATTATGGATCTAATTTTCCAAGAAGGTGTAAAAGAAACCAAGGTTTTAAAAATGAAATCGGACAATTAACCGGTCAGGGTCTGGTTTCTGGCTTGAATGGTTCAATCGTTTAAACTAAATAAATGGCCCGTTCTGACAAAAAATTAAAAAATTAAAAAATTGGTCAAAACTGTTGAACGGGTTTTATGATTCGAACGGTTTGATCATTCGGATCAGCGATTTACTGACTAAATCAACATTTTTTGGCAAAATAACGGTTCTGGGGTAAAACTGACCAGTTCCCAATTCCAGTCCGACCATCCGGTCCGGTCCGGTTTTAAAAAACCATAGACGAAACCTGAGACAATGACTATGTAATCTGTAACGAATTTCTTTTAAGGATAATTCTTCGAAGCTGGAATTGTGTAGCCAATTGAAGGCCATTCAGAAAAGCCAATGCCTCTGCCTCCAACGGAGATAACCCCAACTGGTGTAGCGCCAGTATCCACTAAATCTCCAATGAAATCTTGTATGATGATCCCGATGCCTCCTTTATTCAGCAAAAAGCCTCATCCACATTTACCTTAAATACTACAGCGGGGGTCACGTCCATGTTGATGATGAGAGAACATGGAAACTCTCTGTATTTTCTTCTATCAAAGAGCTACTGTGGGCAATCAAATGGTCTAAAACTTTCATTAAACTGAGTGCCTGTTTGGGAGGGTTTTCTTACAGCGGCATTGCAAGGTAAGGTCCACATGAAAAGCCATGAAGCTGTGTTTAGTTAAATCCCCGAAAAGCCAAAAATCGCTGTTGTTGAGCAGAGAAATCGGCTTTCCAATGAAGCTAGTTTTGGTAGCTTATGTGAAGCTGCTCAATCAATGTAGCTTAATGTTTTGGCTACTCCGCTCAATGTCCAGTTGATCATAAGGCATTCATGGCATTCAGGAGATAAAGGTTCAAAGTTCAAACTACGGAAAGGCAAGCTCTCTAAGTTGTGTGCCATTAGGCCTGCATCCTCTGTTACTAATCCAGAGAGAGATATTTTGGCTGTAAGATAGCTATTTTCGGATTTTAGCCAAAACATTGCTTATATGTGCTTATATGCTGTCTGGGTGGAGCCTACATCACAAAACATAAATCAGCTCTATTAGAGCACTCCCAAGTCTCAAACCCAAGGGGCAATTAATCAAATATAGAGCGACTTTTATGGAATGGACCGAGTTAGAACTGAGGCGCTAGCTTTATTAACTGAGATGTAGCAACGTTGGCCCCAAAATACTTTCTGGGCTTTATTGCAGCCCATGTCCACCCATCCCTGGTGGGCCAAGCCTATCTCCATTACAATCAGAGACAATCACACTCAACATGAGCCTGATGGCAGTTGGGTTATTTTTCCGGCCTTCACAAACAATCTACTCTATTCTCTGGACATGGAAGGAAAAGGGGTTTAATAATAACAGGAAAGAAGGATTTAACCACATTAGTTTGATGGGAAAGAAGAAAAAAAAAATCATGTGAACCGCCTGGTCTGACAATGGTTCTGATGTCAGTTGATATTTTATTTCTTGATTTCTTTTGTTTTAGCATTATGAGGCTTTGTCACTGGTTTGTTCATGCTAAGAGTTGAACTCCGATCCTATTCTCGATCGGTTCACTGAACACTCCTAATTCTAAAACATTGCGGTGTGTCCTTACTCGTTAATGGTTTGGTGCTGCCAATTTAGGGTTTTTATCACTATTTACTTTACATGATAGTCATAACAGAGTTGTTAGAATACATACTTGAGCAGGGGTTCAGTCCCAACTCCAATCTGGCTTCCATCTTTCCTTCAGCACTGTGTAGGGGTGCAACTCGAGTTGACCTGAATGAACACTTTACATTGCTTCGGTCTTGGATTTTGCGTTAGCCCCATTTAAACATTGATAAAAGCCCAACTCAAGCCCACTTGAGTTGCACCCGAGTCCTTAGCATTGTGAAAGTGTGGAGAAAGACTGATTAACTAATGCTTATTTCATATTGCTTTGGGCTCGGACTTTGGGTTAGGCCCATTTAAATTATGACAAAAGCACACCCGAGTTGCATCCAAGCAAATGCGAAATGTTGGAGAAAGACTGATTAACAAACGCTTATTTTATATCGAATAACTGAGATTGTTTTTTATTCCCTCTTTTTTTCTACCTGAAATGTTTTACGTTTGACCAATGATATTTATAGTTGAAACTTCAAATTTAGTTTGTAGCTAGAAACAAAATTTACATTATCTAAGACATCTCAGGTGGAAACAGTTAGAGGTATAAATCGGGTCGTGCCGCCTGTGGCCCGGCACGGATTTGGACTGGCCCGACATGATGGTCCGTGGGTCATGGTAGGCCCGGAACGACCATGCGGGCTGTGTTGGACCTGGGGTTTTAGGGCAAGCATGGCCCAGCCCGCAACCCGACCTAGCATGGCCCATATATATTATCTATATATGATATTATATATATTATATATTTATATATATTTTATATATAGTTATATAATATTATACAAATTATAATTATATAATAATATATAATATATAATATATTAATAAAATAAATATTTATTTTATTTTATTATACTAATTTATTTAATTATTGCATATATAAGCAATTTTATACACAAAATTCATATAAAAATAAAATTTTAAGTTTTTTGTCAATTTTTTTAAATAAATAGCTCTGGCCCAGTGCGCGGCCAGACCTGGCCCAAGG